TTCTATGGCATCCGTGTCAAATTATGACTTCTCACTTCCGACCTCTCGTCGCTTCTTAATGACTTTTCGTATCATCTCATCCACACGCTTCTACATAATCAAGATAATTATAACTTTAAAAAATAAAATAATTTTTTTAGATTATATTTACATATGTATAATTTAAAAATTAAAAACACTTACCATTATTGTCCGGCTAGCAAATTGATGAAAATCCCATCTCGCAGACTTATGTGTGGTCTCAAACAATTTTAAATTAATAAGTTCACACTCTAATTAGATGGCCTAAAAAAATAGGCATAAATAATATGAGCTATAAATATTAATTTCTTAAACATTGAAAATATAAGATAGGATTTACCATACGATAGGCATGCCTAGTAGTAAAGATAGACCCTCATATGCTCGGACAAGCCTAAACCAACTCTACCGATCTCCAACATTTCATTATGTGATGCTTATTCTAAATGCGTTTGATGATCGGGTGTGGAAAAATCTTGCTATCATGAATTCCACACCTCCGGCCTAATAAAAAAGGCCTTTCATCCTTCACACCATGCGTGTGGATGAAGTCGAGTGGCACTTCCTAGCAAAAACCACCTAAGCATCTCTAGCCTACAACTCAATGATCGAATCCTAATAAAAATACTTTTATATGAATAAACCCTCTTTTCTTTTCTCCTTTCATCCCAAGCATCGATTTCATTCCCCTTTCCTCCCACTCAAAATTTCATATGCATTTGGTCCCAAAATCCTTCCCTTAAACTACAAATTTCTACCCTAAAAATAAGAGTATCATAATGATCAAATCCTTCCATAAGGGATGCTATCATCAAGTAGTGATCTCGAGTAATAGCAAAACTTCCTAAAGCTATCATCAAGTAGGGTTCTCGAGCAATAACAAAACTTAAGGATCATATTTTTGTTAGTGTAGGTTCCCAAGATCCAACCATGTTTCTATCAGCTTGAGTTATTATATTATTACATCATTTACTTTATTAATAATAAAGAAGTGATTCTATTAATTCTTATGTCTTATATTTTTTTATTGAATAAAATTAGATAGAAGGCCATATGATAAACATTTGCATGAGTGATTGATCGAAAAATATGAGACAAATACTAATGTGTATAAATGATATCATTAAATGTCCAAAGTTGTAACATTATCAAGAATGGACATTAACTAGATGTGGCTAGACTTATGAGTGCTATGCTCATACTATATGATAGTAGTAGGAGATCTCACACCTATTGACATGATGATGCCAAAGCAAGCACTTAGGTGATTTATGTTAGAGAACATATCACTAGACTTGACTTGTTATGAGAATCCATTCGATTTAATCTATGGGAATCTCATACGAGATGGGTATAATTGATCCTTAAAAATAAAGTCATCAAGATTATCTCATTAGAGGATTTATGTACTTTGACAATTGTTTAGATGGACCTAATAAAGGGTTACACATGAGCGATTTATTGGTGCACTAAGAATCTAATAGAAGTTAGTGGATGACTAAGACTTGACATATCATTTCTTATATGTTAAAGGAGTTATCACATCATACTTTGATGAATGTTTGTTCAAAAAATTTATAACCACGAGTAAGAGTACACTAATAGAGCATAATTGGTTTACTCTATGGGCTAAGACATTTAGGAATTGAAGAAAACTAGTGTGATCATGATCGAACAAGAATAATAACCAAGTTGAGATCACGAGTATGATAAGTTGACATGAGAACTGAATTGTATGGTAACAATGCTCGTGAAAGGTCCTTACGAATTAATTAATCATCCAAGAGAATTAGATACTCATGATGCCTTGCTAGAGGTCAATTTTGATTTATATATCAAGAAATAAAAAAATATCTTTTATTCTTGATATATTACCAACATATCTAGGAGTCTATAGAGTCATTCAAATAAGTTTAAGCATTTATATGATTAAAGAGGAGCAAAGGTGTTGGAAAAAGGTTCTAATTTTAAAATTTTCCTATTTTGGAAAAAGTTTTCAAAAATGTAAAGTTTCCTAAAATGAAAAGTTTTCTATTTTAGAAATCAGTTTCCTAATTTAGAAGTTAGTTCCAAATTTGAAAGTAAATAATATAAAATGGAAATTGGTTTCCTAATTTAGATTTAAGGATAATTTAAAAAATTATTTTCTAATGTGGGCTTCCTAAAATTATCTAACTTAATTTATTTGGATAGTTCAAATTAATTAATTGGGCTAAAATAGTTTTAAATCAATAGGTTTGATTAAAAGCTTGAAAGATATTTTGGTGGGAGGATAAACATGAACCTTATTGGATAAGGATGAATGTTTTAAAGATAAGATCAAAAAAGTTTATATGCAAAATAACTCAAAATCCTTAGAGGATTAGGAACCGGCTACCTAGAGTCCTTTAGGGACTCAATGCCACCCCTTCCTTGTCCTTAGAGGACAAGGAAGCCTTTCCTAGTCCTTAGAGGACAAGGAAGCTTTTCCTATAAATATGTGGGAGAGAGGTACGACAAAAGGAAGGGTTATTAATAAGAGAGAAAAAACAATAGAAAGGAAAAAAAAAGCTAAGGTACACAACTTGAGGAGAAAATTAACAAGAAAATAGTTTTCTCCCTTCTTAAAAACAAACATGCCACTTTCCTCTCTCCCTTAGGTTTTCGCAAAGTTTTCCTGATTTGATTTCTAAATTAAAACACTAAATAAGTCAAAAAAGGTGAATTTAACACTCGACTAATTTTCAATGCTTCTTGTGTTGTGCTTGGATTGCGTGGATTATTGATAGAGGTTGGACACTTGGATGACTCTTTTTTTACAAAGGTTTGCATCTATCTTACAAGAGGTAATTCTTTATTTAGAGCTTTAATTTATGAATATATGGTTAGTTGATTCAATGATATGATCTTGGGCCTTTTAGATGGAGAAAATTTTTATTTTATTTCACACCTCTATAGGATGCATGATCCTTCGGCTTTAAAAGAGGAAAAAGAATGGTTGTGTGAGGGGAAATAAGAAAAAAGTGGGATACCCTAGCTGAGGTTAATGTTTGTTGCATCAACTCAAAATGATAACTCCCTTATTGTCTCATTTCAAAGGCAAGGAAGGATTAGAAGTGTTTCTTTTTTGGGTGGAAAGATACTATTTAGATCTAACTTCAACTCTAGAGCCACTAAATTCTAAAGAGATGCTAGAATTATGGTAAGGGATGAAGGTTAGTGTTAGAGATAAAGAGTAGGTTCATTGTTACCACCTAAACTGTCGTATTTAGCTCGTTTTTCTTCAAAAAAATCTCTCCTCCTTTAGCTAAGAATTTGAGACCCTAATCTGTAGCCATAACTAAACCCTAGGTTTAAACTTGAAGGATGTCTAGACTATCATTTAAACACAATAAAACACCACACCCATCATGTTTATGGCATCAAATGAATCCTAAAAAATTCCACACTATATCTTAAGCAATTAGGGACAAGAGCTACATCTTAAACTCTATAAATCAACTTGGAAAAAAAGAGATCTAATTCAAAGAGCAAAATGATGGAAGAGATACAAAAAATAGTTTATAGTTCTTGCAAAATATTTCTAAGAATGGGCTAATATATTTTTTACCGAACATGGACTTATTACACATAAAAAACTAGCAACATTCAAAGGTAAAGTTAATAACTTACAAGAAACATAAAAAGAGAAGGAGGAAACGTATCTGCTCGGAATGAAGATGAGTGGAAGCAAACAATAAGGATGAGTAACTAGAGAATGAACCTCTAATTGGTCAAGCTTTTTCGTTCCTCTCCTTTGTATTTTGTATCTCCCCTTTTGATTTTGTTTTTTCTTTGAAAAGTCTCACTTCTTCTCTCTTTCACACTCTCTCTCTCTTTGCTAGCTAAAAATGAAATCTCTTTTCTTCTTTTTTCCTCTATTTATATTTTCTTTTTTTCTTGAATTTGTTTTCTCTCAATTTGCTACTGATTCCTTTAGAGGATTATCCTAATCATCTACCTATCCTTTATTGGAGAATGATTCAAATTTGACAAATATTTCTATCAACTCTTTGATTAAGTCTTTTTATAGGTTGATTTAGTTTCTTGATTTTCTATTTTCTATTTTTAGATCGTGTCTATGTTGTGCCAATAATTTTTGCTTTTATTGAGTCAAGTTAATATTTTGTAAAGCTTATTTAAAGGCATGTTTAGTAGTTTAATAATCATTAAAAAAAGTAATTTTCAGCTTACAAGTCCTTCATTCTTCTCTTTTAATTTAGACCTCTTTCCTTCATCGTAGTACAAAGCTTGGTTCTTTCAAGAACTGGGCATATATTCTAGTGGTTAACAATGGCAATGTTATGAGCATTTCTCAGCCTATGATTCCTATTTTCAATAGAGAAAGTTATGATTTTTGGAGCATCAAGACGAAGACTTTATTCAAGTCAAGAATTATGAGATTTGATTGAGCATGGCTATCTTGATTCCGATGAAAAGGCAAGAGTGAAGGAGAATAAGAAGAAAGATGCTAAGGCTTCATTCTTCATGCAACAAGCGAGTGTATGAGACCATTTTTTCAAGAATTTTAGCGAGCAACCATGGCAAGAGTCTGTATTGGGAATTCTACAAATAGAGTTCCAAGGTTCGTCGAAGGTAATTACTCGTTAAACTTCGGTTCCTTCATCGTGAATTTGATACCTTGTTAGTGAAAAATAAAGATTTTATTCAAGATTTTTGATCTAAAGGATGTGGAATTGTTAGTCAAATGAGATCTCTTGGAGAACAAATCACCGATCAAACAATTATTGAAAAGGGGTTAAGGAGTTTAACTCCAACGTTTGATCAAGTAGTTACTCGCTATAGAGGAATCCCAAGATTTGTCAAACTAATGGGTTCTTTGCTAGCACATGAAACAAGATTGAATAGGATAGTAGAGAAAAGTTTAGAGAAGGCATTTCATGTAAAGAGGGAGACATCCAATTGGTAGGATAATCCAAGAGAGGCTACAAGTAGAGGACATGGCTAAGGAGGATATCATGTTAGAGGTGCTTAAGGCAAAAGAAGAGAACAATTTGGCGGTTAGTTTGGAAAAAAGCAATATGTTTAATTTTATTATTGCAAAACTTTTGGTCATGTATGGTGGACTCGTTAAAAGAGGCCAAATCAAGCAAGCTATGGTAAAGAGAAAGAAGAAGAGGAGCAAGAAATCAAGTTGATCATAGCTAAACATTAAGACACAAAAGTTTCTAGTGACATTTGGCTCCCGAATAGTGGTAGCTCTAATCATATGATGGGTTTAAAATCATTGTTCAAGGAAACTAGAAGAGTCACACAAGATCAAAGTAAGGCTTGGAGATGACAAACAAATGCAAGTTGAAGCCAAAGGAACTATGGCAATCACCAACAATCATGGTACAACTAAGCTTCTTCATAATATTTATTTTATTCCAAATTTGACAAAGAACTTATTAAGTTTTAGGCAACTTATGAGTTTTGGATATTATATTTTGTTTGATGGTGCCTCATATGTGATTAGGGAGAAGAAGTCAGATCAAATAGTTGTTGATGTGTACATGACTCTAAATAAGCTATTCCTACTTAAAGCATGTAAGATAGAAAATCATGCTCTTACTATCAAAGAAAATATTAAGTCTAGATTATGGCATCTAAGTTAAGGGCATTTAAATTTTTAAGGGCTAAAATTGTTAAGTCAAAAGCAAATGATTTTTGGGTTGCCTAAAATTAAGTTGTTGAATTTTTGTGAATGGTGTGTTTATGGAAAAAAAATTAAAAAATCATTTCCTATAGGAAAGTCTTAAAGAACACTTAATTGTCTTGATCTTGTTCATGCTGACTTATATGGTATTGTGAAAACAAAATCGTTTGGTAGGAGTTGATATTTTTTGTTGTTCACAGATGACTACGATCACATGATTTAGGTCTATTTCCTACAAGCCAAGTTAGAGGCTTTTGAGGCCTTTAAAAATTCAAGGTTTTTTGTTGAAAAGCAAAGTGGAAGAGGCATTAAAACACTTCGTACAGATAAAGGGGGAGAATTTTTGTCTCAAGAGTTCAATCATTATTGTGAGGAGCATGACATTCACAAGGAACTAACTACTCCATATACACTAGAGTAAAATGGAATGGCTGAACGAAAGAACCTCACTATTGTAGAAATGGCTAGAAGCTTGTTGAATGCTAAAGGCCTTTTAAAACAATTATAAGGAGAAGTAGTTGCCACAACAGTCTATTTACTGATTTTATCACCAACAAGGGCTACATTGAATCAGACACCTTATGAACCTTGGAATGGAAGGAGACCTTTGGTAAGCCATTTAGGAATTTTTAGTTGTATTGCATATGCTTTGATTGATCCACATAATCATAGCAAAACTGATGATAAATCAACAAAATATATTTTTATTGGTTATTGTTCTCAATCTAAAGCATAGAGGCTATATAATACTATAAGTGTCAAAGTGATTATTAGCAAGAATGTTGTTTTCAATGAAGAAGCAAGCTGGACTTAGTATAAGAATTCAAATGGTGTTTAATTTAAACTTCCAACTAAAAATGAAGCTCCACAAATTGAAATATAGCAACCTCCTATTCCAAGTTCTTCGAGTTCCTTTCTTTCATCTTCACCAAGTTTGTTGCCTTCAAGTTCAAGCCATAAAAGGTCATCTTTAGAAGAAACTCCTCCTAAAAAATTTAGATCGTTGAGGGAGATTTATGTGGCTACACAAGCCTTGTTTATAGCTGATCTAATAACATTTAAAGAAGCAATGGAGAAAGAAGAATGATGCAATGCCATCAAAAAAGAAATTATAGCAATGCAAAGAAATGAAACTTAGGAGTTGAGGGATTTGCTAGATGGTAAGAATGCAATTGGCTTAAAATGGGTGTTCAAAATAAAGTATCATGCAAATGGAAGCATACAGAAGCACAAGGCTTGACTGGTAGCAAAAGGCTATTCACAACAGCTAGGTATCGACTTCGAAGAAACATTTTCTCATGTTGCTCGATGTGACACGATGAGGACCATTTTGGCATTGGCTGTATAATTGCAATGGCTTGTATCAGTTTGATGTTAAATCAACCTTCTTAAATGGGGATTTTTAAGAGGATGTGTATGTTATTCAGTCCGAAGGATTCATAATTGAAGGCAAAGAAGAGAAAGTGTACAGGCTGTGAAAAGCACAATATACGGTTTGAAGTAGGCTCCATGGGCATGGTACAACAAAATAGACTCCTACTTTCTTGCTAATGGCTTTGAAAGAAGTAAAAATGAATGCAATCTTTATTTGAAGAAACAAGGTGAAAATGAACTTCTCATTATTTGCCTTTATATGGATGATATGATTTATATGGTTTCTTCTTCTTCTCTTATTAATGAATTCAAAGCTTGCATGAAGAAAAAGTTTAAAATGTTAGATTGATGTATGCTTCATTATTTTTTTAAGCTTGAAGTGACGTAATTTGAAGATGGAATTTTTCTGTCACAAAGAAAATATGCCACTAATTTATTGAAAAGGTTTAACATGTTGAATTGCAAAATTGTAGCTACACTTATGAATTTGAATGAAAGTTATAGGCTGATGATGGTATTGAACAAGCAGATGCAAGACATTTTAGAAGTTTGGTTGGAGGTTTAATCTATTTAACTCATACCCGACTTAATATTGCTTTCTCAGTTGGAATTATTTTCAGATTTATGCATTTTCCTTCAAAGCATCATCTTGGAGCAGCAAAAAGAGTGTTACGATATATTGCTAGAATAATTGATTTTGGGCTATGTTATGGTTGTGTTTCAATGTTCAAATTGTTTAGTTACATTGATAGTGTTGGGTTGTATGTTTGGAGGATAGAAGGAACACTTCGGATTATGTTTTTAATATTGGATCAGTTGTAATATGTTGGACTTCAAAGAAGCAAGCAACAATAGCCTTGTCTTCATCTGAAGCTAAATATGTAGCTGCAACTTCACTAGCATGTCAAGCAATTTAGTTGAGACGAAATAGTCATTTGAGTTCCTTTTATTTGAGATTTTATGTATGATGAAATAGTCATTTTGACGTATTGTAGTACGAATGAGCAGGTTGCTGATATTCTAACAAAGTCACTTCCTTAGGACAAGCATGACTACTTTAGCCTCCATCCTAGTGTTTGCAACTTTGAATCAAGGGGGCGTGTTGGAGAATGATTCAAATTTGATAGCTGTTTCTATCAGCTCTTTGACTATGTCTTTTGCAGATTGATTTAGTTTCTTGATTTTCTATTTTTTCTTTTTAGATTGTGTCTATTTTAGTGCCAATAATTTCTTTTTTTATTGATCCAAGTTGTTATTTTGTAAAGTCTATTTAAAGGCATGTTCAGTACGTCAATAATCACTGAAAATAAAAAGCAATTTTCACCCTACAAGTCCTTTGTTCTTCTCTTTCAGTTTAGTGCTCTTCCTTCATCCTTCACCAAAGGCTTCTCTAGTTTCTTTATTAGGGGAGGTTTTTACTATTTTGACAAGCAACTTCGAAGGCTTTAAAAATGGAGAGAAAGAGCAAGGAATTAGAGTATTTTGATGTTTTAACAGAGAGGAAGTGATGTAGTACATTTCCTACTAACTTGGGGCTTCTTTTTGGGGGATTTGGTTTGCTAGAAAGGCCAAGCATTTTGTGGGGGAGGCTGGCAAGAGGAAGAAGACAATGGACATAGAAGGGAGGGAATTTTGGTGGGTTAAAATTCAAGAACTGAATGACATGTTGTTTGAAACTTTAGGTTTTAGTTCATCCCTTTATTCAGTACCTTTCCTTTTTCAGTCCTTATTTTATATTTTCTTTTATTAAACCTTGAATTTGATCTTCTTCATTCCTTGTCCCTTCTAATATTTACCAATCAAGTTCCTATTTCCATTCAATTCCTCCCTCTATTTTTTATTATTTCTATATTGACCCACACTTCTTTCAAAATTATTCTCAATTTCATCTTGATTTTAAAATTCTTTTCTTTTCTTTTATTATTATTATTATATTTTTTTCTTTTAAAAACACAAAGATGAATAATTAACCATAATTATCCGAGGTTTTTTAAAAAAAGTAGAGAATTTATGATGCAAATTAATAGAGTGCTCTCGCGTGCGTGCACACATACATATATATAATTGAAGAATTACTTTCTCTGTTTGAAATTTCTTTTTTTTTTTTTTTTAATTTTTCATTTTGAAGAGTAAAATATACTTGGATAAATAGAGTGAAAATAACTTTTGATCAGGTAACAACAACGGACAATAGTGAAATAGAATGTGACCAAGTTTTTTGTTTGAACAAGAAAAGACAGCTAATTAAGTTGATTTGGAAGCTAGATTTTCTTTTAATTAATTAACTAATATTTGTTAGATTGAAAGTCCTGTTGATTTACCAATTATCACCGGTTTTATGACTAGAATTATTATTTCTTGTATGAATTTAATTATTTTTTATATGAATATTAAATTATTTTCGTACTTTTTTGACGTCCCTGTACAAGTCTATCTTATTATTGTCCAAACGAGAACCTAGCATATGGCATTAAGTATGTGTTGAAAAATAACGAGATTTTTTTATAAAGAAAATAATTTTATTAATATCAAATTGATGCAAGTCAAATCAAAATTTCTTAAAACAATATATATATATATATATATATATATATATATATATATATATATATATATATTATGTACACAGATGAACCCTTTGTTATCATAGATGATAAAGCAATGAGCTGAACTATAATGCTTGAAAAATTTTAATGGTCCAGCACTGATAGCGGCTGTTCATCCATTTCCAATAACAAGATATAATTTCAAAATTTGTTAGAATGCATAAAGTGCATAGAAATTAAAAAAGAAAACAGAGGGAGAACAGAGGAAATGGAAGCTTACTTCAGCTTCTCATGATGCAGAGATTATATTCCACACATTTTCTCCTCACATATGATGTCTTTATATACATGTTGTGAGGAAGAAGGAAATGTAAAACCAGAAAAAAATATCCTAACAGAAAAGAAAGAAAAAACAGAGACGGACGAAGAGCATGAGATATATACCAGCTAGCATCTAACCAATTTGCTTAACTAACCAAGACTCTGTTATAGCCATAACGATTATATTTTTGAAATTTATAACACGTGTTGTTTTCTTGCTTAATAAAATTTATATTCAGAACCTAATCTTCTAAATAAAGAGACATAAAACTCATGTTCAGAGAAAAAATTGTACGTACAAATTAGACCTAAAAAAGACGAGACCCTGAAAAGTAAGCAAAAAAATTGAGATAAATCTAATCCATAAAACAAAAAAAGACAAGAAAAAAACAATAAAAAATGTTGGTGTATGTTTCTTCTAGTCACCAACTGTCCAAACTAAAGTTTTAATAGAATTAAAACAGTTTAATTACAAGAAATTTTACTACAAAGAAACATCTCCACTATCGTTAAACATTATTGTTATGAGTCCGCCAACGTAATTCATCAGTTGTAATCAAAGAAATGTAACTTGTGTTAATTAATTAGGGGGAAAAAAAGACGAAGCCATCCATGCGCTTATTATTTTTATTTATTTATTTAAAAGGAGGCATCGTGATCCTGACCTCAAATATATATATCCCATCATGCCTGAGAATGAATCGACCAGGATTTTGACTAAGAATATGGTGTTAATTAAAGGGCTGCTCCAGGTGATCCTTCTTTTTCTTATTATTATTTTGTAGAATGAATCAACCAGGATTTTGACTAAGAATATGGTGATTTGGCCAGGAGTTGGATATTAATATTCTAGTGCCAAGCAGCCCTTTAGAATTAAAAATAGTAATAAATGTATTTTGATCAGCATAGTTTTATGAAAGGAGAACTTAGACCGAACTGTTTAAGTGGCACTCAATAGCATCAGCAAATCCTGACATTCAACCTTCGGGTTCAAATATCTTGATTTATAACATAGACAAAAGAAAAGAAAAGAAGAACGGTTCACATATATATTATCTTATTAATAATAATGCTGCTCCGAATCTTTCATCATCAAAATAAGAAAAAAAGAAAAAAGAAAAAGAGAGGATCACCGGAATGTTGATAATAGAGCAGCCTTGACCAAGAGGAGGATATTTTTATATTTTGGGCATCCACTATTGACTAAAGAAATGTTGACCAAAAATAAGTGCTAGTGGTGACGGGGACAAAAGGCTTGAATTATTGACTAGGCATATCAAAACCAGCGTACGCTGTTGGTTACCGGAATAAAATAATCAAAATGTATGACTCAATAAATCAAATAAATCAAGAACAAGAGAAGTTGCAGGGGAGTTTCTTTCTTTCTTTCTTTCTTTCTTTTTTTAAAAAAAATAATGTATGACTCAATAACAATAGAATTAGGAAAATAAATAAATAAAATTCTGAAAATGAAAGATCATACGTTTTATAACTGAGTGAAAAGACGGAATTAGTAAAATCATAATTCCAATAAAATAAAATTCATACCAGTCAATTAACCTCACGTAAAAATAATTTTTTTGACTGAATATATTGCAATGGTAGTTGACGATGATTATCAAATGAAAATTAAAAACATTAAGTTATAATACAGAAGAAGAATTTAAAATGGTGTTAGACAATGTTGCTGCTAAATACATTAACTTGTGAGGTTAATTAGACCCGACACCCAAGCTGCAGCGTCCCTGTTTTTCACTACACAATGATTTTTTCAAACAAAAAAAAATTCTAATGAAAGAAGAACAAAGCTAGTTGATGGGAAAATAATTTAAAAGTTTAAAAGAAATAAAATAATAATATTATTAATAAAGAAAAAAATAATTTAAAATAATTTATGTATTTACTTTGGTTTATGAAGGGTGTTAATGATAAATTGTTTTATTAACTAGCGGAATCTGGGCATTTTAGTTAATGATAAGTTAAAGAAGACTCATCATCATGACCTACCACATTTAATATATGGAAAAAAATTCTGACTATATTTCAATTATTAAATGACAGTCCATCACAGAATAGTTTTGGTAACGTTCCAAATTAATTTGTTTATTTCTCACAACATTATTGAAGACCTTGTAAAAGAATAATGAGAAAATTGAGGCTTTATGATATTTAGAACAACACACAATTAAGTAAATAACATATTTTAATACTGCCTAATGTAGTTGATATATTCAATTTGTATTTTTATTAAATCTGAGAACACCACTAAAATCTGAAATCAATAATATAAATATAAATACGTTGTTCGAACATATGTTTGGGTAGCTCTTGTTCTCTTTCTCTCGCGTTCCGGTTTATGGCTCTCAATAGAGTAAGCACATAATAATAATTAGATCGGAGAGGGACTTAACCTCTTCATATAAAAACTCTAATAATTCTCTCTTTAAGAATTGTATTAGAATTTGTTAGACCCTCACTCAAAAACCCTATATCAATAACTGTGTAAGATGTCTACAAAACCAATAAATTAGGCTATACACTTAATCCGTTTTTCACAAACAAAAAATACTTACCATCTCTATGTTAGACCATTTTTCTTAAGGATCAAATTTCCTTAATAGATTAAGAGAATTATATAAATATTATATCCAAATTTATTTTGGGCCTCGGCACGAGACTTGGAGGAAGCCCATCAAGTTATTGAAATAGGTTTAATAATTGATTTTAGGCTTAATGTTTTAGAAAATCACAAACTATACACATTTTAATAATTTTAGCTTGTTCTTAAAAAAATGTATAAAAGGTCACCAATTAAATGTTTGATAATAATACTAGCATCGATATAATTTTTCTATCAAAATTCCGAACAATAGTGATATGACGACAAGTGATGAAGCATGACACATAGACTTTAGCTGATCATATAGGATTCACGTAAGCATGACACATAGACATTAGCAAGCCACGTAAGATTAACATAATTGATTTTTCATGCTACCGCTTATGTGGATCTTACGCGGCTTGCTTAAGTCCACATGTCATGCTTATATGGACTGCTATATCAATATTGGGCAAAAATTTTGATCGAAAAATCAAGCTAGTATTGTTATCGGAGGCTTAGTTGGTGACTTTTCTATATAATTTTTAAAGAACAAGCTAAAATCATTAAAAAGTGTATAGTTCATGATTTTATGAAACATTAAGCCTTGATTTTATTTAAGAGCCTATTTGACTTGGTCCATTCAAAGAAAGACTTTATGCCAATCAATTAAGCCCAACACAAGCATTAAGCCAAGCACGTACATAAAAAACCCAATTAGTTATCTCAAGTTAGAAAGCTAGAGCTCCCTCCGAAACTAATGGAAAATGGATTCTAAAACTAGATGAAATGTGAGGAAGTCCTATCTAAAAGAGGATAGATGACTAGCATAGTAACAATAAAAGCATAACTCAAATAGTTAGGAGGAACATGAATGTAGAAATTGCAGCATGAGGAAAAAAAGTACGGCATTGTAAGAAAAAAAAAGTACAAATGTATTGTAGTGTAAGAAAAGAAGAATATAGAAGCACTCGTGACCTACATTAGAGAGAGTGTCTCATTACTAGAGGTTATGGAATGATAGAAAAACTATAAATACCAACTATAGCCAAAGAGAACAACACATAACAATATCAAACACAAACAAACTTTTGGGAAATGAAAAAAATTTCAATGAGCACTATCAAAAGTTTCACTTGAAACTTGTTAGAAAGTAGCTAGTATGCAATAATTTATAAGCGATAACTTGTACATGATAATCAATCGGAGGTAATTTATAGGCCGATAATTAGTTCTTCATACTTTGTTTGTGATGACAACCACCATCATTTTATAGTTGAATTGTTATATCTAGAGTGTCGATCAGTGAATAATCATAAATTTCCTTTATTGTAATTTTGTTAAATTTTATATTTTGAAAGATCGCACTATTGCTTTTATAGGATTTATAGTTCATTGATATCAAGTTTTTATTCGTATTACGACCTTTTGATTCTAGTGTTCAAGTACTTAAATTTTTAGTTTTGTGGTATAATCTTGTTATTTAGGTTCATATTAAATCGGGGAGTTTGATTTCTACCTTAATTAATTTTTATTTCAAATTATTGTCTCTTTAATCCCGTAACTCGACTAGTTTGAGAGGTAATGGTTTCCCCGTGAGCCATTTTCAAGCATATTGCAGCTTATTTAATCCTTTTGGATTTTTTTTTACAACGTTATGTCCCCAAAAATCATTAGTAGTTTTAGTATATATTTGTAAGTTTATTTATTTCATTTTCCTATAGGATTAGGAGATTGACTCTTCTACAAAACACATCCTAGACATATATTGCTTTTTTTGTTACAAAGTCTTCTTAGTTAAGACTCGCATAAAAGAATCTGTAACTTTTTATTTTTTTTGGGTGACAATAGTGGAAGTGCTATATTAAATGGCACAAAAAAGAACAATATCCAGAGTCCCATCAACTTGGGAAGAAGGTGAAGAAAGTCGACTCTCTATAATAGACACTTTTATATAGGATAAAGGGAAATCTACCCAACCCCCAATAGGTTTTTAATGTAGCTATTCTAATTTCAAATGAAGAAAGACATAAACATCTTAAGGCCAGAGTTCAAACAAGCCTTTAAATTGGTAAAAAAAATAAAAAATTAAGTATCGGGCTTTAAGTCTATAGATAGAGGATAAGTACAAGTTGAAAATGGAACCAATATAGAACCATTAAAAAGAATTAATATTTACAACTAGTAAAACCACACATACACTTTTCCCTACATGAATTTCGATGAGAGTTCCAAAAAAATTATTTTATTTGATTAATTTTATTTATGATTTTTATGATTTCTTCTAGGGATGTGAATTATTATTGATTTTGGGAGTTGCCACCTAGTATTAGGAACTAGAAACTTAAAAATAGCATTAGTTTAGAGATTTTAGGATAAGGAGTTGATTATACTTTTAAGAAGATATCGATCACCTCCCATCTATTCTTCTCCAACTCATAAATCCCGATCGATCAACATCATAAATTTTAAATATTCATTGGTCTTAAAATTTTTGTTAAGGAATTCCCTAACATTTTCTTTATATCTTTCTCACCTCTCCATTTTTAATCATATATTTTATTGTCTAGCACTTAATCTTTATTTGACTCGACTCACAATAATTTTATTATTCTTAAAATCCTTGCAATAATTAAATAATCTTGTGATGGAAGCTTGAACTATAATACTAAATACACAATCATAAAATCAAACAAAGGTAGCAAGTTGTTATGAATCATAGACCATAAATAAGCAAGTCAAATCCTTTAGAAATAATCAATACAAGCAATTCAAAAAAGTTCCAATAGTTTATATTATTATCATAAAGTTTTTTATACAAAAAATTCTCACAAAAATAATGTTAAAATTTTAAATGCGTATGTTTAGTTTCTAAAAAAAACAAAAAAAACCTTACACCAAATGGTTAGAGATAGAAAAAAACCCTAAAAAAAACCTAACCTCCCAAAAAGCAATCACTATAAAAAGTATAAGCATATAGGGATGGATTTTCTATCACCATATACCATCAAGGACAATTTTAATTCTATCGTTAATATGGTGGTCGATATTTTCTTAGTGATAGAAATTTTTTTTTGTTGTTATTTTTTTCATCACTTAATTTATCTAAAATAGTACTCTATTTGGTCTCATATTCGTTGCCTTACCGTCGCTAATTCCACTTATATCCATTGCTAAATAGCAACACAATGGCTTATCACTAAATGATAGTCACAAAAATACTCACAATTCCGTTGCTAAAATCCATCACTATTTAGCAACTATATATGTATCCGTCGCTAAATGTTGTAATTTCATCACTAAACGAATGAATTTTTAATTTTTTTTGGAAAATTAATAGCTATATATTGTTAATTGTAATAACAAACAACTATAAACAACACCTTATTGAAATAAAATATATTATTTAATAAAATTAAAATAATATAAATTGAAATAAAATAAATATATAAATATGTAAAGTGTATAAAACATTATTTTTTTTAAAAAAATAATAATAAGAAACCTAGTCCTCATTGGCATCATTTCTTAAATCATCTTTTAGCTGCTGGGTGTTGAGATGAACGATTGTCTTCTAGGTTGTTAAAGGGTCGAGTAGGAGGGACATTGATATGCTGAAGATTCTATAACAATACCATCACTCTTTGCAACCGAGTTTGTATCGTCGTTAACTTGATCGTCTTATTAACGGATGGTAGCCACCATCCTCTTGATCCTATCTTCATTCCGGATAAAAACCTTATGGATATTACCATCAAGATGCCATAAAGTGGTAAAGGAAGAGGTGGCACTAGAATGTGAGTAGCATAGGGACATATAATTTTTGATGTTGTATATTCTTTGCTTCTTCTCCTTTTTGACATCATCTAAATATATCTTGGATATGTCGATATCTAAAGATGATGAATCACCCTCATGCCACTTCTTAGCAAATGCTTCTTGCATTAACTATATGTGCTCCTATATCATTGAAATAATTGTAATATTAAATCATACATATATTTTTAGATTATATCGATAGATGTATACGTATATATAAAAAAATAAAATAAAAACTTGTCATTACTATCTACAATCGTCCGTCGACGAATGTCCCATTCTTCCGCTTATCGATCACGAACGACTAATGAGGATTCGAGTTATGACCCAATTTATTATGTTGAAAAACATAAAGAAAATAATAAGAGATAAAATAAATACAAAAATTAATTTGTACCACAATGGATAATGTAGGACTTATCAAATACTCAAAGTGCTTGATCAAAGAGATGGACCCTCTATTATGCTTGGAAGGGCTAACATCAACACCGCCTCTCTTTGACATGTGGTTTTGAGATGCCTTTTAAGATCGAACCTAATACTCAAGAGTGGTGCAATTCGAGTGTCATGCTTCCCACACCACTTATTTAAAAAATCCACGTCCGTTACTCTTTTACTTCAGCTTGGTAAGCATGTCACCATATTGTCTTCATGCCGAGACTCTCCCACACATTTTTAACTAGTGCAACGACGGTTGCATTTCATAAAAGGTACTTCTACATGAAGAAAAAAATAATATAGTACTTTTCATTTAAATCAATACTTTGAATAAAATATCAGTAAATAATTAATATATTACCTCAAACACATTAAAGTAGAATTCTTTTGTCTTCATAGAGACTAACTTCTATATGAAGCCGTAGACGTCTAACCACTCTTTAAAAACTATAGTGATTTTTATGAAGTCGCTTACTTGATGAAATCAAAATGTCAAACAAAATAAA